TCAGCATCCTTCAGCAGCAATACAAAACTACACCTTTTAAAGTTCAGTCATCACTTTTTAAAAACATTTTCTGACAAAAATTGCCAAAATCCTTGTAGTTTAGTCAGTTTAGTTAATGACATTTTTCTATTAATCAGTTTTTTATTTCTTTGTAGCAACTTTTAATTTGGAAAAAAAAAATCCCATTTGCATAGATTTAAAAACAAAATGCTCCAAAATAATTGAAACACCACGGTGTACAGATCACATGGATGTGTTCAACAGCGTTGTAAAAGAAGATGTCGAAGTGCTGGTAAGCTGTACCTCCTCCTGATGTAATAATACCGATAGTATTAATTAGGGAAAATTCCTGGCAATCAATTGCTTACTCGACTAAATGAGGGGAAAAAAATCAGGCTAACCAACTAGTAAAACTAAGAATCCCTCAATAAGTTAAATTTGAGAACTGCTTAATGGAAAAATTAATATACCGCTTGTGCGTCTGTGCTTCACCTCGCATCGTGCATTATCAAGATTGTGTCGTGCGTTATGAATGACGCATGCTGTTCTAAAATTAAAGGACTAGTAAGTCTGTTACCGACTAGTGACATTTAAACCACGGATGACATCCATGGTTGAGATTTCTTTTTCTTTTTTTAAATCACTCTTACTTCCTGTCTTCCCAGTGCTGCGCAGTGGCCTTCATTGAGAAGTTGGATGGCCAGTCTCTGAACCTGAGCTCTGAGGAGTTTGAGCTTTACATGTCGGGCCAGGCGTCCCCAAACTGGCCACTCACTTCCGGAGCCGCCTCCTCCTCCAGCAACAGCGCTCTCAGTCAGGTCCACAAAAGGCTGGATCTGCTGACGGGGCTCGGGGAAAGGCAGGAGCGCGTCATCGAGAAGGCTCGCCAGCTGGAGAGTGACCTCATTGACTGGACCGATGAAGTGGAGCAGAAAGTGCAGAGCGTTCTGGAGAGTTTTCCACCCGACATGCAAAACCCCCCTGCACCCACAGCGAGTGGGGCTGCAGCAGCTTCATCAGCAATCGACTCTGATAATGTTGAGAATGAGCTCCTGCCACCACCACTGCAGCCACAAGTGTTTGCTGGTTGATATAAAGCTTTACTCCACCCTGACCCTTTTCCCTCCAGCTGTCTGATACAGATCCCAGTCAACACTCCCAGAATCTTTGCTCCATCCACCCTTTTCTTGTAGAAGCCATGAAGCTAGACCTTATAGCAATGTCACTTTCAAATGGAAAAGAAAAAGTTTGTTATTTTTGGGTTGTGCGTTTATTTGCTTTCTTGGAGAGAGTAAGATGAGAAGCTTGATGCCACTCTCGTGTTTGAACACTGCGAAATATTTTGTTGTAAATTAGTTTGTAGAAAAACCAAAGCGTAGAAGCTTTCGTACAGATCAGCAGTTCATTGGTGGTGGATTTCTGTCACCTGTGGACATGGCTAGGCTGGCTGCAGCTGCCAGAGTGGTATGAATGCTCCTGACTCTCCACCAGGAAGCAAATAAGAGCATTTACTAAAGTTTGAGATTATTTTGAACACCAGGCACCACTAGGTGGAGTCCTGGAGTCCAGCAACACTCAGTCAGGGGTCTGTTACTGTTACAGTCTGCTCCTGTTAAAGTTTTAGACTTGCTGATATCCTCAATCCAGCTGAGCAGTGGAAAGAGAGTGACTCCATTCCAAGTTCTTCCGAAACACATCCGCTTGTCACCCACTGTGGCATCTTCAGTACCTCAGCTATTCTTCACCCTTTATGTACAGAGAGGGTAAAATGGACGATATTTAAACATGTATAATAACTCTCAAACTATCAGATGAGGATTTATTTTAAGCGTATGTCTCCGGGCTATGTTGGCCCTTAATTCCCAAGTTGTATCTAACAAACAATAATTTTCATTACACTTTAGATGGGCGGGGTGGGGGTAAACGAGGTGGTAGGGAACTCCCAATGATGCAATAACCAACTTGCCGCTCTCTAAAACTCTGAAACTCCAGCTCATGTTTGTAATGTGTGCTGTGTTTAGTGTGCGTTTCACAACCCTTCACAGAAATAGCCAGAAAAAGGAAGTGTGTGCGTGAGTTGAGAAACTGTGTGTGTGTGTGTGTTGCATGTTCTAGTAATGTTGACAAATCCTCCAGTTACACCTGTAGAAATACTTTTTTTTTCCATGGCTGACCTCATTCTAGTCACAAGCTGAATGTACAGAAGTGATTTTATTTTTCTATACGGTGTTGGTTAATCCTCCCTCTGGATGCAGTAGGAGATGATAATCCTGTAATATTTACAGTAGATTTAAAAACAAAAAAAAACAAAACCTTTGCTTGAAGATGTATAAATTTAATGATCGGGTCGTTGACGTCTTAAGAGAGCATTATGAGCAGGTCTGCTGAAGGAAGGTGAATGAATTGGGCACAAAAACCAGCACGATGCCGTTTCCCTGTAAGAATGAGGCAGAATCACTCCAGAGGCTCATGGAGAATTTAGAAAACCAGTTTAATTTATTTTATGGCACTTTTGTTTGCTTTTAAAGCACTTCATTCAATAATGAAGGTCATTGCGCAGATTCGTTGATAGTATAGTAGTTAAAAGCGTCTTTGTTGCACAGATTTAGTTCGACTGTCTTTTTTAAATTTCTCAGTCTTGAAGTGGAGGAAGCTTTTTAGGAAAGTTTGTTTGAATTATGTGAGGCACATTTTTCTTTTCTTGCGAGCTAAAGTTTCCCTTTCCAACCAGGTTTAATTTTTGTTGTTGTTGTTGAGAATTTGCAACAGTGCAGTCAGTGTGCGGCTGCTGTCAAAATTCACTTTGAGAAAAAGCTCTTAATGCAGACATAAACTAACAGCTTGAATAAATTCTTATTGCACCGTATGCAGAAGCCATTTATCAGGTATTTCAAAACATTTTAAACCGCGTCTTTGTTACCTTATAGGTTTGTTGTTGTGTGACATGGGAGAAATGAACAGAATACTGTCTTTTATTTAAATGTAACTTATTGGGGCAGTATTGGTATATTTGCATCTATGGGTGTGTGGTTAATAAAAATAGAAAAGTAAAATGGACTGTTGTGGTTCCTTTTAATTTTTTTCACATGACTGTGATGGTCAAGATTTTGCATGTCAGGATTGAAGTTCCTGACATGCAAAATCAGGAAAAATGAACCCAGAATTTTAGCTGTGTCTACTGTTCTGTATGATATCTGGGAAAGGGGGGGGGGGGTAGTTTAAGGGTGGCTTCTTGGCAGCATATCTTAAGGATGTGTTTTTCATGACGTGGCTGGTAATCCTGCTGTTGATAGCGTTTTAGGCATCTTCTGCTTTCACCGTGCACTTGTCCAATTTCCTTAAATTTGTAAAAACACACTCCATGCCCTACTGAGGTTTAATAACAAAATGCCTAAAGATACAATTTAAAAATGGTCCTTAGTTATGTTGTCTGTAACAAAAAAAGAGAAAAAGAAAAAAAACACATTCCCGTGAACATGGTCAGGTGTAAGGAGTGGACTAGAAACCAAAAGCGAAACCTAGAAAGCCTCGAGACCTGTTGCTTAAGACCTCTTGGCTCAAAGAAAAAAAACAAAGAAAAGAAAAAGAGAACAAGAAAACACACCCTTCCAGTGAAAAGCTCTGCGGTTCATTTTCACTGGAAGGGTTCAAATGAGCTAGAAAATAATAATGCAACAAATAATATTTCACAGTTCAGGAGTACAGCTCAACAGTGCAGTGAATGGAGTTTCATTCTATTAATTATACACTTATCAATAATGTAGGTGTGGTCTTCTGCTGCTATAGACCATCTGCTTCGAGGTTTTTGGTCACAGATGCTCTTCTGCATGACTTGGTTGTAAAGAGTGGTTATTTGAGTTACTGTTGCCTTTCTATCAGTTCAAAGCATTCCTCTGACCTCTGAAATCAGCAAAGCATTTTTACTTGGAGAACTGCCCTGATATGAACTCTTCTTCTTTCTTTTTTTTTAAACTAACCTCAGTAAACTCTAGAGATGGTTGTGCTGGGAAAATCCCAGCAGATTAGTAACTTGAAAAATGCAATGGTAAATGTTTTTTTTTCACTCTTCACTGCACTATCTATAATGCCAGAAAAAGCCCCCAAAAATATATTTAAAAGAATGTAGGAGGATACAACAGTGAGTGGCTACATGCATCTAAAACAAAACATGTTGGAGGCTCCGTCATGGCCACTATCTGGAAAATAACTGATTGGCAGCAGCTTAATATTGTCACGCTGCCAATTCAGTAAGACCATATCTGGATTTAAAAAAAAAGAAAGAAAAGAAACCACACACAATGTGACACTATCAGTCTTTGACGATAGTGTCCTTCCAGAAGCCCGGAGAACTATTCCTCAAGACTGCTTAAAGAAATTAAAAGAAAACTGCTTCAGACAGTTTTGACTGTGTTAAAGAATAAAGGTCATAACAAATATTAACTGTCAAGCTTGTTAGAATTGTACAAATTTTATTTTTGCCTCATGTGGTGTATTACCGTGTACATTTCCACATTTCAATAAATTGCTGGACCTATTTCCCATTTTCCTGGCAAAATATAAAGGCACGAGGGGTGACTCATGGCTTTTACACAGTGCTGTAAGAGAAAAAAAGCTCATAGCAGACTACTGCATCAGTACTACAATAATAAAGTGTAAAATTTGCATTATTTCAATTGGCTTGATACAACAAATAAACAGAACAACTGTGTTTGCTAAATCTGGAAAATATCAACTTTCCACATTAATCAGAAGAAGAAAAAAAGTGTTGTTGGGGAGAACTGTGCAACATATCAGAGCTATTTAACAGGGGTCAGATACAGGAGGGAGGGGAAGTTCTTTAATTTGCTACATGATGTGGTTTACCATGAAACTAATTTTAGCCTATGGTAGAAAATTGTTTGGAAAAGATGAAGTCCTCATGTGTTACACCCCAAAGGGGGGAAGAAGCATTTTCACTTCTCCTTTTAGTGAAAATGAATAAATACTCGATCGGCTTCTGTTTCTTGAAGAGTCTCCAAAATGGACAAGCTCATCTCTCTCTTTGGTGAGTTTTCTTCAGCTCATTTAATGAAAATGTACTTTTACATACTGACCTGATGTAACTGTCATTTAAACTTGATTATTTTCTCTTTCAGTTTTTTCAGCACTCTCACAGATTGTAGTGTCTCATGGTATGGACCAAATATTCTTTACAAAAATACTTTAAATTTGCACAGATATTATTTTAGAAGTGATCTCAGGATTTACACTCATTACCAAAATAGATCCTTTAAACGTATTCTTCTTTTTTTCTGCAGTTCCCACTGAGACGTCTTTCAGAGCCAACATCGAGTTGGTGTCAGGACATTCAAGGATCTTCTCGGGGGAGAGAGCACACTTGAGATGCAGTATTCCTGATGTGCACAGGTCTAACTGGACCTACCTGTGGTTCAGGGGCTCTGAGGAGCTCTCACAGACTGGGCAGGAATTAAAACTGTGGAATACCAAAGTTCAAGAGAGCGGGAAATACTACTGCCAAGGAATAAGAAACACGAAGGTGGGAAAGATTCGCACCCAGCAAAGTGTCCCTGTGGAGCTCAAGGTGGACGGTAAGATCTGTTTGTCTGCATGAAAGAAATAAAATTGCTTTGCACGTTAGGCTTCTTTCTTCCTGTGTAATCCTAACACTGGAGCATTGAACATCTATAAGCTTCTTTTCAACTTTAGGTTTTCTGTGCAGCTCATCTAAGACATGCTGTGAGTGATGGCAGCACTTCTTAATACAGCCTGCAACTTATACTGTGACTTTCTAGGGTTTAACATATAAATCTTCTTCTATAATTCTACTTAAAATGTCCATTTGGTACAACAAGGACTTGTTTTGTTTGGGGTTTTTTGTACTTATGTGGTATCTTTTCCCCAC